ACATGGATCCCTCGCGAAGAATCGAAGAGAGAATCATAAATAAATATAGATAGATAAAGAAAGAGAGAGACAAACAAATTCCAAGAAATTGTAAAATTTGAGGAGAGATCTTTGGATTCAGAAAATACAAAAGATATAAGATTAATTGCAAGGGAAGTGAGTGCACTAACACGCTTGACCATGCACGAAGGTCATATATGCTCTACGCTTATGGGGTATTTTGCTTTGCTGTACTCACTTTGATTCCCTTTTTGCAATTATTGTGTTCCCGTTTATGATCCCAATAACTTATCATATAGTACTACTAAATATCTATGACGCTCTTTTTATATAATATACATATGATGTATATACACACGACGTATACAACTAAAATCTTCATGTTAAGCCGTGACGTAAACCTATACTTTTCAAGTAATCAAAAATTATATTGTAAGAAAAAAAAAGATTCATTGGAAATTTGGAATCGGGATTCAGTTATGAAAATATTAATTCGGTTAGATTAAGTCGACCAAAAGTAATGGGGATTAGCAATCGGAAATAGTTTTGGACTGGTTATAAAGTTGAAATCTCTTGGATTGGATTCTAATATTTTACTCAAAGTAACTATTTTGAACTATTGGATTTCCGATTTTGATTCAGAGATGTGACCAAAAACAACTACGACAATCCATAGCTAATGCTAATAAAAAAGTGTTAAAATTTATAGACGAAAATAGTTTTGTTTTTCTTCTATCAATCAACTATATATGTGTGATGTTCTATAGTTGTTTGTGTCTAAATAAATCTCATTCTAACGGAGTTCCGAAGTTCGATTATTGGAACAATTGTTATGTATACAGTACTCTTAACTTTTCATTAAGTTCGAATAGATAATCCACGCAAGGAGGAGACAAGCTAAAGTATGTTTAACAAAAACTAGACAAGTAAAAGTATTTAAGACAATCCTTCAGTAATTTTCAGTAGATTCTCAATATTTGTTCCATTATTCCACTGATCAACCAATTATAACGAAACAATGAAAAAAAAAAATAGATTTGATTTGTCTCCCAAACTACCATGTAAATTCTTACGAATATTCAAAAGCATCAGAAAAATAAGTCTTACCAATGTTTTACATTTATCAAAAAGGATCTTAAATCAGATGTCAGGAAGACAGGAACCTTCTTGAATGTTTTCAAACTATTATTATATAGAATTATAGCATTTTATTTCTTTTTAATAACTTTATTGCAATTATGATTAAATAGTAAACTCTATAATGTTGGAACTAATCTTTTGGCTAGGCTATGCAAGCTGTGATTGAAGTATTATTGTATCAACCAATGCTGATATTTCTTGGCTTCTTGCAGGGAGTTTAAATGAACGAAAACACTAAAATATTATATTTTGTTTATCATTTTCCCCAAGTATTTTTTCTCGATCATTCCTTTTTTTTTTATCACGAATATAATTTACTACGTAAGCCCATGAAATATCGAAAGAAAATTAAACTAACGGAATATCTAGTGATTTTTTTTATAAAAAAAATCATTTTTATCCTTATTTTATAGTAAGTATTGTATTCCTTGAGTTCTCTTCTGCGCTTAACCAATAAAATATCCATTGCCACGTCGTTTCAAATGTAATATTAGTGAAAATTAGTTCATAATTTCGGCTCTTAAAGTACATTTACATTAATTTTCGTAATATATGATATGATTAAATATATAAAGCATCAGAATTTGAAACATACAGTGACAAAAAAACATTATGATATAGCTAGACTAGTATGCCCACGTGCCACTATGTACACCTACGTCTTAGTATGTGTGCACTGTGCATGTACATTTGTGTACATATACATGTACGATATTCCTAGACTTTTGATTATGAAATTAATGTAATACTTAAAAAAGACAGAGAATCCAAGTTTGATTTAGTAGGTACCTGACACACCTGGATTAATGCTTAAACATTATTTTATAAGAAGATATATGAGATCGTTTCTGCAAGTTCATTGCACGTAGATGTAATTGAGTACAAGATTGCCTTTGAATACAGAGGATTATGGCAAGGATAATGTATGAGTACTGACACAAATGAGATGTCTTAAACAAATGCTGTAGTTAAGTGTGTAATTAACTAGATTAGTCAAAAAAACTTAATAAGTAATACACTTCATATGGACAGATGAATGTTATTATATATATGTTATCTTAGAAATATATATATTAATGAAACTATGGACGAGATTTATGGATGTACCCAAAACAAACATATAATTAGCATAGATTTTCAGACTTCCGACTAATACATGGACCCTAACTTGGGCCTGTTGAATATAGTCTCAATCTTTATGGAAATCTGAAAACTAAAGTTTTATTGGAGCCCAACTCTGCCCGGTTAACCAAATCGGAGCTAGAAGAACCTGATTCATATTCGGACTAACTTATTATTATGACCAGATTGGTTTCAAACTTCGTCGTCCCCTTTCTACAAAGATATGTTTTATTAGTTGTATGAGTCATGACAGTGTATGTTCCTTCAATTATATTGAACTTCTAATTGTCATTACAACATCTAATCGAAAGTCTAACCAAATAGGGGAAAAAATTTAATCAAAACTAAACTGAACCGAATTAGTTTACATTTCAGCTCACTTGTTATATTTTTGTAACAGCTAAAAAAACGGCACGAAATTATTTAGTCAAGCACTGATGTTGTTTCTTAATATGATATCTTCAATTGGTATCGTGAACTGTATATGTAATGCATTCGCTAACATCAGTGCTTGACTATATATATATAATAAATACAACTCAAAATGTATATGTAGATATATGTAGTGGATATAGTCTGTCAAAAGGGGAACAAAATTAGGTTGAGAGTAGGAACCGGAAACAAATAAACAACTGCGATACACATACAATAATGTCGTCGGCTTATTTAATATTTCTTTATTTTTGTGAACTTCTTATTTTAACATTTCACAGATTAAACTCGGGTAATAGTGTTAGTTATGAACATAAGATGAAACAATATCGATATATGATTTTAGTTAATTTTTAAATTTAGGAACATCAAAATACATATTTTTATTCAAAATTTAAAAAATTATCTAAAAAAATTCAGCTTCGAGGTTAATATGTAATGTGCTCCATACAATATTTATAGTTTTCTAACAAAAAGAAAAATAATATATAAAGTTTTTTATTTAAGGAATTTTTTCAAAACTAAAATATCCTAATCGATAATAATCTACCACGAACCTTTTTGTGTATTACTAAATTCAAATTTGGTCATAACTTCAAGACAAAACAATGATAGAGGATTAGTAATAAACTAGTACCTTAAATACACAAAAGTAGTATTAGCCAAAATAAGTTATTAGTTCTCCGTATTTTGATTATATATAGTTTTAATATAATTCAAATTTTAAGATGGCTTTTGTGCAACCCATATCTAATTACCATATAGTCCAGACTAACAAATGTTGAGTTTAACTTATTATAATTTAATACACGGTTTATTAAATCAATGCAAAATATTAACAAAAATTTAATATATTTAAGAAAATGTCAAGGCGACGTTGTTTCAGCAATTATTTTCAATAGTTGGATCATTCGTTCATGCTGATGTAAATCATTGTTGGCCTCTCCTTTTCGCATTCAGTCTTTTCTTTTTGGATATTACATAATAGTCAATTATTTTATTTAATACAAAGCTGTATAAACCTAATCGACGGTGTATCTTACACTTATTCAAGGTAACCCTTAATCTAATGTTTAAGTTATGGGTAAGATGAAACAATAACGATATAATAACCTAATCTTGTACAAGAGGTCAACATGGGCCATCTCTTTCCCGCCCTGTCACGTATCTCTATGAATCATAAAAGTACGTATTTGATCTTCATCACTTAATGCTTTTACATGAACACTTTCTGTCATTAACTGCGACTGTACGTATTTACATCTATTGGTTGTACTTTTATGTTTTTCCGTATATGTGATTTGTGTTTTAGAGATTAAAGTTCGATTGTAAAAGAGGCATTCAGTACTTACTATTTTTTTACTATTTGAAATTACATCAAAGGGTTTTTTTTTTGGGATAAATTACATTAATGGTTTAGTAAAAGACAAAAACAAAAGATTTGTTACGTTAAATCAGAGCTTTTCTGTAGGAATTAATTATCATAGCGCTACGAGTAAGCACTCATTTGTGCAGAAGAGATATAAATGTGAAATCAAGAGATATTTCTGTTTACTTGTTCACTTGTAGCCAACGTTTAGGCCCTTTTCCACTGCGATGATTGCTAGGGCACTGATAACTGATTGATATAATCTTAGTAGTAGTAGTTTTAAGAATTTTATTTTATTTTAAATAAATATTAATTTGTTTTCTACCGTTTTAGTTATGTATATGTCAAGACAAATCCATCGACACATCCATCTCTAAGAACATAAACAACTTTGGAATGTAAATTTAAACAAACGATGTGTATAATAAGATTAGCATCTTAGGACTGTGTGTTTTCATGGTAATTGAATCAATTCTTGAATAGTGTATAATTAATAACTGTCAAAAGAGTTTATGTTGAATAGAATGTACATACTTTTCCAGTGGATAATCAAGTTGTCTGAAAATCGATATGTGGTGATGCTTGGGCTAATTATTCTTTGCGTCGACTTTTCTCTTCAATTGTGTAGTTTCAATTTCTAAATTTCTACATAAAAAAACCATGAAAATTTGAAAAAAAAACTATTATTATAAAAGTATTGACCAATAAATCTATAAGACAAGTGGATTAACCGTTTTGCGTCATAATGTTTTTTTTTTATTTACTAATGATTTGACGTTTAGACTTTAGAACTTAGAATACTATATCAAGTTGCCCCGGTTTTGCAGTGGTATTATTGTAATAAAAGTAAAAAAAGATGGGTCTTTTTGTCAATCAATGGCTTTGACGCACTTATATAAACCCACTTCACTGATTAATCAAATATCATCATTAACTAAATCACTCGCAATTAGTAATAATCACTCAACACTGCGAGCAACCGCCGGCAGATGGCTGTCTCCTCCTCCTCCACCGTAACGAATTTAATCTCCACCGTCCATCACGACATCATAGAGGCTCACATCCTCACGCGTCTCGACGGCCCAACCCTAGCCTCCGTCTCCTGCGCCTCCTCGCACCTTCACGAGCTCGCTTCCAATGAGATCCTCTGGTCCAAAATCTGCTGCTCCACGTGGCCTTCCGTCTCCTCCTTCTCGGATGCTACCCGCTCTTTCTTCTCCGACGTGTATTCTGTGCTCGACACCGCCGGTGCAGTCTCTGATCTCGACCGTCCGTTCCCCGAATTGATCTCCGCCGTTGATCTACACTACAAAGGAAAGCTGGTTTTCAGTAGAGTCGCGAAGACGGAGACGACGACGGCGTGGTTCCGTAGCTCGCCTCTGAGGATCGATCTGGTTGGTCCGAAGGACACGGTGGAGACGCCGATCAAGCGAGGACGGTGGACGGAAGACACGTGTCGTGATCTGGATCAGGATTTGACTTTGAGCTGGATCGTGATCGATCCGATCGGAAAGCGAGCGGCGAATCTGTCGAGTCACAGGCCGGTTTCGGTGCAGCGGAACTGGCTAAGCGGGAAAGTGGAGGCGAAATTCGCGACGGTCGTGGCCTCGCCGGAAGAGACGGTGGAGTGTGTGATCACGGTGGTCACGTGCGGAGAGGAGGAGATGCACGTGAAGGAAGTGAGCCTCAAAATGGAGAAGATGGAGGGAACGCATTTGAACGGAAAGGACAGTTTGGTCATTTTGAGGAGTGTAATGGAGGGTAAAAGAGGAAATGGAAGAAGGAGAGAAGAGGAATCAAAGAGGAGACACGACGAGTTTATGGAGAAGAAGAGAGAGATGAAGGAGAAGAAGTTGAGGGTAGAATTGGTATTTGACATTTTAACAGTTGCTTTTGGGATTTTAGGCTTTGGGTCGCTTGTTGGGTTTTGCCTTTGGGCTCGGTGACTTCTATTTGTAGGCTATCATTACAATGAAGAGCCTCTAGATAAAACAGAAACTTGACCAATCTCCAATCAAGAGCCTCTAGATGAATCAGAAACTTCACAAATCTTTTCAAAACATAATCTTCAATTACATATTTTCACACCATGATACTACAATACACTTTACATTCTCATGTTACACAAAGCACAAGCCACAAACAAAACATAAAAAGAAACATCTAGGTCTGTTACGATCTTGACATGTAAAAATATATGAAATCACTGCCTTTTTAGGGCAATGGCTGAGATGACAATGAGAAGGATGAAGAAGACAACGGCGATAGAAGCGGTTACAACCGCACTACTAACGGCCTGGCAGAAGTCTCCAAACTGCTGACAAATGGGGAGCCAATTGGTGTTTGCGTTGCCGTTATGTGCGAGGTAGACAATTGCGGCTGCCGCAGCCGCCGCTGCTGTGGTAAGCGTCACGACCACCTTCACCATAACATAAAAGGGAATGAATTACTATGACGTTAAAAAAATTGTATATAATTTTTTGCGTGGAGAATAGAGTTTATAAGTGAGGTTACGGTGTCGGAGATGAGGAGGATGAGCCGGGGCGCGACGGCGAGTGGACGGATAATAGTTACAATGGAGAAGGGAAGTGAAAGGACGAGATAGCCGGCGACTATGGCTACGGCTATCACAAAGAACCTTCAAAAACGATTTACGCACATTTATATACTATATACGCATTTATTGTGTGAGTTAAAACATGATGTAAAATTAGTAATGATATGTGAAGAAAATGAAAATGGACTTACTGAAATGTGGCAAAGTCATCGTAACCGGCTTGGAACTGTAAGAACTGAGTAAAGAAGGGAAGAGTCTCCTCGGCGGTGTACATGAGAGAGGAAGCCGTGATAGTGGTTACTATAGCCGCCAAACGGAGGAGGAAATCGAATATGGCTAAACCTCTCTTGTAGCCACCTCCTGAAGCGGCTGCCACAAAGCTCTTCTTCTTCTTCTCGTCCACTACGACATGGCTTGTACTTTTGGTCACGTTACTCGACTCGCCGACGTCAATGGTGGTGGACTCTTTCGACATTCTCTCTTGCAATTGAGTTTGAACCACAAAGTTGGTGTGGTATGTTTGTGTGTTGAAATGCTTTGTACTTGTGGTGGGAAACTAATGGGAGATGGACAAGTGTTATATACTGTATAATGCTTGTATTAAGAAGTGATTGATTAGGAACAATTAGTAGCTAACTAATGACGAACATTAAATTATTTGTTTTTTTTTTATATTGAGGTTAGTTGATTTGTTAGGGTCCGAGAGGAGGAGTTGTTGCTTCTTACTATTCCCCACTTGTTTGCGTTTGAGCTAACAATCAAAGTCAAAAGAAATGTTAAAATATCATATGTAAAGTGTTATGAAGTTGGCATCCGATTCCGTACGCAGGAAAAAATGCTTAATTATGTTCATATTATTCCATGCCAATAGTACGACTGAAATTTGTTAATTGAGTGACTAACTACTTTCAAGTTAGTTATAATAGTTATTAACAAGCGAAGCATACATTTCTCATATATTGTTAATTAATAACTTATTCATGCATAATCAATCATTCACTCGCAATGGCATCTCTTGAGGTTTAAAAACTAATTTCAGCTTTGTATGCTGTTGTTCGTTCTAGCATACAAACGGTTTATATAGATGAAAATGCACCAAATGTTGTTCGTTTGATTTATTTGGCATGTGAGTGCGAAATTCGGATGATGGCTTGAATGCAAGATCATTTGTCTAAACAAATTATAGATATTTTGGAAGAACAAAACATAAAGTTTTGCATCTAACAATAGACAAATTATAAAAACATCCTCACAGGTTCTAAGAAATTATTTTATAGAAGTTATCCTTCTGTGTCAAGTTGAGGGTATTTATAAAACTCTTTTTCCTAATAAAATATATATGAAATATATTGTTACAATTGATATGTTAATTTACTTGTAGTAATCTAAACTAATTTCATAGTGTTCCGTTTAATCAGTTACAGATTTACAGAAAAAAACCAAAAAAAGAGAAAGAAATTAGGCAACCTATAGTTTTTGTTCATGCACATTTATGGGCGTTCTTATCCAGCGTTTGCTTGTTAAACCCCTAGATGACTAAGATGAGGATTGGCCGTTGGAGAATAAATAAAAGCACTCATTACGTAAAATACGATTTAGACTATTTGAAACACGTGACATGGTGTTTTTCAAATACCAATGATCCTCCAACATTCAAGTCAAATTCAAGTTATTAGCATGGTTCCGGAGCTGGATCGATCTGGTGAATCAAGACACGGTGGCAACACCGATCAACCAAGAGCGGTGGATGGAAGACACTTGTCATTATTAGAGCGGGATCGTGACCAATCCAATGACTTTGAGCCATGTTGGGTCTTGCCTTTGGTCCCATGCATTGACTTCGACTTTTAGGCTATACTATAGAACAAGAATCTCTATATGAAACGGAAGCTTTCAAGCGGAAACGAAACAAATTTCTTTGAAACACATTACATTTAGAACGATCCGGTTACATTGTCCACACCATAATGATACCATATACTTGAATCATATCATGTTACACAAAGCACAACAAGCAACAAACATATACATAAAGAACCTCTATAGATCCGTTGCAATCTTGACACGCGGATTTATGAAATCAATGCCTTTTAAGGGAAATGGCTGAGATGACAATGAGAAGGATGAAGAACACAACCGAGATAGAGGCGGCTACAACTGCAGTACTCGTGGTTTGGCAGAAGTCACCAAACTGCTGACAAATGGGGAGCCAATTGGTGTTTGCATTGCCGTTATGTGCGAGGTAGACAATTGATGCTGCCGCAGCAGCTGCTGCTGTTGTAAGCGTTAGGACCACCTTGAAATATATATTAATCAGAATGAATTAAATAGAAGAATAAATGAATAAAATTCAGGGAATAGAATGTTGTATAAATAGAAAAGAGAAATTACGGTGTCGGAGATGAGGAGGATGAGCCGGGGCGCGACGGCTAGTGGACGGACAATAGTAACGATGGAGAAGGGAAGTGAAAGGACGAGATAGCCGGCGACTATGGCTATGGCTATCACAAAGAACCTTCAAAAACGATTTACGCACATTTCATTAAGTCACCAACCGGACAATTTTTAAATAAGATAACCACGCAATTTTAAAATCTAGAACCGGAACATGACTTGACTTACACATAACACGAATTTTAGGTAAAAATATTATAAGAGTAAATTAGTATAAACTATAACTGTAATTAGAGTGATACTATATACGCATTTATTGTGTAAAACATTATGTAAATTAGTAATCATATGTTAAGAAAATGTAAATGGACTTACTGAAATGTGGGGAAGTCATCGTAACCGGCTTGGAACTGTAAGAACTGAGTAAAGAAGGGAAGAGTCTCCTCAGCGGTGAACATGACGGAGGAAGCTGCGATGGTGATTCCTATGGCTGCCAAACGGAGGAGGAAGTCGAATATGGCCAAACCTCTCTTGTAGCCGCCTCCTGCGGCCGCTGCCACAAAGCTCTTCTTCTTCTTCTTCTCGTCCACTACGACATGACTTGTACTTTTGGTCACGGTGCTCGGCTCGCCGACGTCAATGGTGGTGGACTCTTTCGCCATTCTCTCTTGCAATCGGTGTTTAAAGAAAGACGAAGTGTATGTGTGTGTGTGTACTGAAATGTTTTGTACTTGTGGTGGGAAACTAATGGGAGATGGCCAAGTGTTTTATAGGGCTTGTATTAAGCAGTGATTGATTAGGATTTTGGAATAGTTAGTAACAATCTTTTATATATATATATATATATATATATATATTTGTTCAATACTGAGGTTAGTTGATTTGTTAGGATCCCGGAAGAGGAGTTGTTGCTTCTTACTTTCCCCCACATAGTTGGGTTTGAGCTAATAATTCAAGACAAAAGAAAAGCTAAACCTATGTATGCTAATGAAGTTGGTATCCAAAAGAGCTAAAAAACGTTTTATATGTTCATTTTAATCCATGTCAAATGTACACCGACTTTGTTAGTTGTATGACTAACCACTTTCAAAATTCTTGTTGGTTATTTTCAACCGAAGCATAGATCTTTCATATGGGTTATCCATGCATGATCTTGATCATTGTCGGACTCTGTACTTTGGCCATAATTGGCATCAACGATTCTGAATCTTTACTCTACTACATGGATTTGCAATGTTCTGTGTTTTTTTATTAAATATCCAAGGGTATGTTTTAATGAATTATTATAGTTTTAAAATTTTGAATTTAATATATGTTGGATATTTTATGATGCAAATTAACTGGATTTTGAAAAGGTAGTGATTATGAAATCTATAATTTATATCGGTTTAGACAAAATCTATATATAAAAAAAAAACCGACCTTGTAATTCTTTCGAACCAGACCAGGTTGATGCAACATATTTTCCTTTTACGCATTGGTTTTGGCTTTAAGTTAAATTTTCTTCTATTTTGATCTTTTCCTTTTCTTCATAAACTTAGTTTGCCTTTTCCTAATTGTACGATTCTGAATCCGATCGAACTGAATCTACGAAAAATACGAAAAGATAGAACGGAGCACACGCAAGTTTAACGAGTTCATGTCCGATAACGGAGCCCGACGTCTCGCCGGAGGTTATCTGGAATCCACTAATGCTGCTCAAACTTGAGCTCTCGGTTTTTCTCTCTGTACAAGATCTCTCTCACTCTCTCGATACAAGATCTATACAACTCTAACCAAGAAGAAGAAGATGACGATTTAACTTAACACTTAGCTGAAATCGTAACAACCCTCACACGTGCAATGCACACGTATAAGACTCGGTTTAGCTAGACCCGCTCAAACCTAACTTAATCTTCTGGTTTACAGTAAGCCATGAGATAACCGAATGAAGAACATAAACTTTCAATTCTCCACCTTGTGCTTCATTCTTTTTACTTGCATTAGCTTGACGATTCCACCTCCGGTATATGAGCAAACCCGCCCACCTTACACACTTGTGTAAACCTGTGCCACAAACTCGAGCACCCTGAGACAACCCTCTCAGCCTTATAACTCCTGAGTAAATCCACTCAGCTTTTGCTTCCGAGCATTCCTGCTCTCAATCTTCAGTAACTCTGAGCAGCTTCAAAGCCTCTTGAAACTTGCCCACTGGAAGAGTCTTTGTAAAAATATCCGCTGGATTGTAAGCTGTAGCTATCTTCTCCACTTTAACCAACCCAAAACTGATCAAATCTCGAATAAAGTGATACTTAGTGTCTATGTATTTCGTCCTCTCGTGATGTACTGCATTCTTCGCCAACGCTATAGCACTTTGAGAATCACAATTGATACTGACCGTGTCTTGTTCAAACCCCAACTCGTTTACGAACCCCTTGAGCCAAACTGCTTCTCGCGATGCATCTGACAACGACATGTACTCAGCTTCTGTAGTCGAAAGAGCTACTACCTTTTGAAGTGTGCTCCTCCAACTTATAATGTTTCCACCTGCTGTGAACACCATCCCTGAAATCGATCTCCTCTTATCTAAGTCAGCCGCGAAATCTGCATCACAATAGCCCTTGATGACGAAATCGCCTTCTTTCTTGTAACAAAATTTCGTCTTCAATGACCTGTTGATGTATCTCAGTACCCACTTCACTGCCCGCCAGTGTTCTTTCAGTGGTTTGCTCATGTATCTACATACCATTCCTACTGCGTAAGCCAAATCAGGCCGTGTACCAATCATCGAGTACATAACACTTCCTACTGCACTCTGATATGGAACTTGCTTCATCTCTTCAAACTGGTCTCTTGCTTCTTCATCTGTAGCCGCCTTGAGTTTGAAGTGTATCCCCATAGGTGTCGATACTGCCTTCGACTGATCCATACCAAAGTTTCCGAGAACTTTAGACAAATAACCTTCCTGAGAAACAGTAAGAGTTCCTTTGACCTTGTCCCTTCTGGTTTCCATTCCCAAAATCTTCTTAGCATCACCCAAGTCCTTCATCTCGAATTCTGACTTGAGAAGTTTCTTTAACTCATTAACTTGCTCCTTATCCGTTGAAGCAATCAGTATATCATCCACGTAGAAAAGTAGATAAACATAAGCTCCGCTCTTTAACTGCTTGTAGTATACACACATGTCGCAGACACTTCTGCTGTACTTACTGCTCTGCATAAACTCGTCGAACTTGTTGTTCTACTGCCGAGGAGACTGCTTTAACCCATATAACGACCTCTTGAGTAAACAAAATTTCTCCGGATGCCTCTTATCAACATAACCTTCTGGTTGCTCCATGTAGATAGTCTCATCCAAGTATCCATGTAGGAAAGCCGTCTTCACGTCCATTTGTTGAAGCTCCATATCGAAGTGTACCACCGCAGAAAGAAGCAGACGAATTGAGACATGCTTCACCACAGGGGAGAAGATCTCCTGATAGTCCACTCCCTCAGTCTGTGAGTACCCTTTGGCAACAAGCCTCGCTTTGAATCTCGGACCCTCAACACCAACTATGCCTGCTTTCCGCTTGAAGACCCATTTACACCCAATCGGTTTCTGTCCTTTCACTCTGTCCACTAGAATCCACGTCCCGTTATTCATTAGCGACTCCATCTCTTCATCTGAAGCTCGTTCCCAAAACTCACTGTCTGCATCAGCTAAAGCTTCTTGATAGCTTTGAGGCTCTGTTTTGCCTCCGTCTTCAACCACCAAGTAAGCGTAGCCTGCGATGTCATCATCTTCATCATCCTGATACATGACGAAAACTCTGAGCTTCTCTGGAAGGTTAGTTGATCTTTTGGGACGTTCCTCTTCTGACTGAGTAACTGCTGTAGCCTGCAAAGGCTCCTCAACAACTTGATCTCCATCTCCTCCGTGTGCTTGCACTTTTACATTAGCAACACCTTGAGCTGAATCTCCCGTAGCTCCACCTTGAGTTACATCTCCCGATTCCCTGTTGTTTCCTGCAAGATCAAAACTTAAAAGTTGATTGGTATAAAACGTATCCACAGAGTTATTTGACTTATCACCGCCTGACTTGATGTCTTTGTACATCACGTCCTCCTGGAAGACCACGTTTCTGCTGATCGTGCACTTTCTGTCTTTAAGAAGATAGACTCTGAAGCCCTTAACTCCCTCTGGATAACCCGTGAAAACCCCTTTCTTTGCTCTTGGCTGCAGCTTTCCCTCATCGGAATGAATGTAAGCAACGCAACCAAATCTCCTTAAGCCCGTCAGGTTAGGAACCACTGAAGTTCACCTTTCCTCTGGAATCTCAAACCCTATCACCGAGGATGGTGACCTGTTTATCAGGTAGACTGCCGTTGATGCTGCTTCTGCCCAAAAATGCTGTTCTAACCCACTTTCACTCAGCATGCTTCGCACCTTGTTCATGATAGTTCCATTCAACCTCTCTGCAACCCCATTCTGTTGAGGAGTATAAGCCACTGTCTTGTGTCTGACGATGCCCTCTTCCTTACAGAAAGCGTCAAAACAAAGATTGACAAACTCTAGACCATTGTCAGTACGAAGCTTCTTCACTTTCCTCTCGGATTGCACCTCCACCATCTTCTTCCACTCGACAAACCGGTTGAATGCTTCATCTTTGGTCTTTAGAAAATAGATCCAGACCTTTCTAGACCAGTCATCGGTGAAAGAGATGAAATACTGGCATCTCCCTAGGCTCATGGGAACATTCGGTGATCCCCATAAGTCTGAATGGATGTAATCCAGCTTTTCCTTAGTGACATGTTGTGCTGGACCAAAGCTGACTTTGTGTGTTTTGCCGATCACACAATCCTCACAGAACTTGACCTCTGTAACCTATTCCGCTTCTAGACAACCCTTCTTGGCTAGAATCTCTAGTGCCTTGTGTCTGCAGTGACCCAAACGACTGTGTCAGAGTTGAGTGTAACTCGTGTTCTGCTTCTCCTGATTCACTGGTTGAGAAGTCACTGCACATGCCTCTGAAGCCTTTGCTTTACCCTGTAGAATATACAGAGTGTCTCTGCCATTTCTAGCACCCTTCATAATCACAGTACACCCCTTAACCACTCGTAAAACACCATTCGAACCTCTGAACTCGCAACCTTTGTTCTCCAGTATCCCGACTGATATCAGATTCCTGCCTATGTCTGGCATGTACCTGACCTCGTGCAGAACAAATGTAGTGCCGTCTGAATTCACGAACCTAACTGAACCAATTTCCTTGACCTCTGAATTCGTGTTGTTAGCCATCCTGACCCTTCCTGATGTCACTTCTGTCATCTCGATGAACACATCTCGTCTCAGCGTCATATGAAAAGAGCATCCTGTATCTATTACCCATTCCTCATGATCAACCGTTGCTTGAGACACATTCACCTCGCAAGCAATCAATCCCACTAAGTCTTGTGCGTCGTCCTTTGCAAGAGATGACTCTCCCTTACCCTGTGATTGATGCTTTTCCTTGTTCCTTTCCAGCCATTTGTAGCACTGTTTCTTGAAGTGACCCTCCTTGCCGCAAATCCAACAGATCTTCTTCCCATCCTTACACCGAGATCTTGACCTGTTTCCTTTTCCCTTGCCGTCATGTGAGCCACGATTCTCTGATCTTCCTCTGGCAAAGTGACCCTCAGAACTTCCCTTCGAACTTGAGCTATCCCTTAGCTCTTTCTCCTTTGACCTCGCTGAACTCACCACATCTGCCATTTTGATCGACTCCCTCCCATACTTTAAAGTTTCTTTGAACTGATCATACCTTGTTGGTAAGGAGTTCAGAAGTAGAATCGCCTGAACTTCTTCTGGAATTTGTATGCTCAGATGACTAACTTCTCTAATCAGCTTCAAGAACTCGTCGACATTCTCGTCAATCGTCTTGTGATCTTGAATTTTGAAGCCGTAGAGTTGAAGCTGTGCGTAAACTCTGTTCGGAAGAGACTGGGGCATGTACTCTTTCTCTAAAAGATCCCAAGCTTCCGCTGCAGTCGTACACCACTCAATCTTTCTGAGAACCGGATCTGCTATGATCAGAAAAATCAGATGCATGGCCCTCTCGCACCGTTCCTCCCTTGCTTCGTCAGCCACAATGCCTTTCTTCTTATCCGGAAGAACCGATGCCCTGCCTTCAGCCACTGCCGCCGCCACCACAGGAGAGATTTCCGCGATCTCCGTTGAACTTTGGGGAAGCTCAATGAGGACATCTTTCAGTCCCGATACGCTCAGATGAGCGTACATCCTCAGTTTCCAGATAGAGAAATCTCCAGTTCCGTCAAACTTCTCGATCCCAGCCGGTGATGTCGCCATCTCCGATTAACTTCCTCCAATCTGCAATCGCGTCGCCCCTCTTGCTCTAACCCTCGCTCTAATACCACTTTGTACGATTCTGAATCCGATCAAACTGAATCTACAAAGAATACAGAAAGATAGAACGAAGCACACGCAAGTTTAACGAGTTCAGGTCCGATAACGGAGCCCTACGATTCGTCGGAAGTTATCCGGAATCCACTAATGCTGCTCAAACTTGAGCTCTCGGTTTTTCTCTCTGTACAAGATCTCTCTCACTCTCTCGATACAAGATCTATACAACTCTAACCAAGAAGGTGAAGATGACGATTCAACTTAACACTTAGCTGAAATCGTAACAACCCTCACACGTGCAAAGCACACGTATAAGACTCAGTTTAGCTAGATCTGCTCAAACCTAACTTAATCTTCTGGTTTATAGTAAGCCATGAGATAACCGGATGAAGAACATAAACCTTCACTAATTGATTAAGGTCTTTAATCGTTTATATAGATAGAGTTGATATCTTATTTTGCTAGAACACAAACTCACTGAATTATTTATCAAAAAAAGCTATTGTTCACTTAATCTCTTGTCTTTCACTAAAACATCGGTTCTCAACGAATTCAAGACGTGTGTTTCGTTTGAGAATTCTTACAATAAACAATCGAATCCACAGTCGTACCAGGTACTTTACATCACAGGTTTTTTATGTGGATTTTGCTGATATTTTGCTGGGTCGGATTTAACCGATTAACCTGTCTAATACGATAGAAGAAAAATTATATTCTCTTTAAACTTTTGAAATCCGAAAGAGACTGCTTCGTCTTTACATGTTTTTACCGCCAGGAAATATTCCCGTTGATACCTTCATGAATTCTTTTTTTGAACAACTATTCAATTTTAAGAGCCATAAATCTAGTAACTATTTTCTTGGACGTTAGGATTTGGTATCTATATCTAAACGGTCATAAAAAATAACAATATAAAAAGAAAAGTGTAAAACCTCTAATTCCTTCTATCTCACATCTCTGTCTCTTTCAAATCAGATACATAGCTAAAAGAAAGAGAAAATGGCTACGACGATCCAAAGAAGAACCCTTGAGCGCATCAATTTCATCGGAAGAGTCTTGGTCATCACGGTCACTAGAAGTGCCTCAGTGATCAGCCGATGGATCCGTACCGTCCACTACTTCAACCTTAGCTCGAGACACCCTCTCGTCGTTGGAGTTGGCGTACAGTGGACGCCCTTTCGTTACTACCGTGATCCTCTACCAGATGTCCCCACCTTATGCGTTGGGAACCGTTGCCTCATCATACAACTGAAACACTGTAATCGAACGTACTACGAAGTTTCCTCGCTGATCGTGGAATCACTTTCCTAGGCATTTGGAACAGCCAAGACAAGGGAAAGCTCGAGAGATGCAGCCATCGAGTAGAGATATGGAGACTTCTAGACGTTAGGCTGTATCTTTCTGCGAGACTCCGCAATTGTTCGTTTGAGAAGATTGTGAATGAGTATTTAGGTTACGAATGAGTGAGGTTAGAAAAAAAGATAAGTACGAGTGATTGGGGCGTTCGCATACTTTCCAATAATCAGATATTTCAGGCGTCAGAAGATTCATATGTTTCCTTCAAGCTCGGTGTTAAGCAACGTCTTTGGGAAGTGTGATCTCCTTTCTTGGTTCTGTTAGCTTGTGTTGCGAGGACAGGGCAAAATAATTAACGAAAACAAACAAAAATAGCAAATCAGGTGGACGAGCGACTGTCTTCTCTCTTTTCCCTTCCCACCGTCACCGGCCTCACGCCGGAGGACGGAAAGACCCCATGCCGAAGCAAAGGAGGGGGCCAAGTAAGGCTCCTCAGGTTTCTAAGAAATTTCTCCGTGTTCTCACCATCTCCTCTGCCGAGAGGGGTGACTCCGCTTCTGTTTCCGTTTTCGTCGGAAGCTCCTCCGATGGTAATTCGACCTCTGCTGGAACCAATTCCACAACTGTTAGTCTCTCTTCGCCTCTCGGCGTCGCTAGTAAACCAGATCTGCTGAACTCCTCTGCCTCAGGAGTAGGACCAAAGTCAGATCTAGCTTTTTCTCAGGTCGATCTTCCGCAAGGAATACTCGCGCCTGTGATTCTTCTCGTCGCCGCTGAAGAAATTTCACCAGGCACAGAATCTCAATCAGAACAAGTTGCCATTACGACAACTTCAGACTGTTTTGCTTCTCCTTCAGTGGGTGTAACTCAGCCGGTAAGGAAGTGGTCAAGCTTGGTTCAAGACTCTGCCCAGCTTCAGGAATTGGGATCTCCAACTCAACACATTTCTGGAGCCCCCTTTGTTCTAATCCCTGATGAGAACATATCGGCAGCTAAGCAAGAGTTTAAGGATTTTATTTTTGCTCGCTTTCACGGAGATTCTCCTGAAATGGGAAGAATAATTGGAGTGATAAATGCAATTTGGGCTCGCTCAGAACCTAGAATCTTCGTTCATCGTGTTGGCCAGACCTCATATCTGCTTCGGGTGACTAACCCGAAAACAAGAGATATTCTCCTTAGCTGGCCAGTGTGAAACATTACAGGTTTTTCTATGTTTGTTTTTCCATGGACACAAGATCTTGATCCAGAACAACCACCGATAACCTCAGCTATAGTTTCCGTTGAGCTTCGTAATGTTCCATACCTCCTTTTCAATAAAGAAAGTCTCAGCAGAATTTTTAAAGCAGTGGGTAAGCATGTATCCCTAGCCCCTGAAACAGAAAGAAAGGAGAACTTTGAAGTGGCAAAAGTTTTTGTTCGAGTAGATCTCACAAGAAAGCTTCCTTCCACTGTGATCTCTGGGTTCTCAAGCGGTAAAGAAGTAGAAATCGCTGTCTCATATCCCTGGTTGCCGATGAAATGTGAAGCTTGTGGAAAATTTGGTCATGAAAAGAAGTCATGTCGTCCCTTAGCAAGTGGTAGGAAATTGTCGAAGTCTCCAGGTCCGCCAGAGCGTATAAGACGGGTCTCAAGGCCAGGGAGAGCTAAGGAGATGATACACAAACCACAATCTCGAGAGGCAACTAAAAACCCTGGTGGTGAGGGGTCTCCCTCTCAGAGCATTGATGAGATTACTCAGGACAAGAGGGATGTGGCCAGATCAATGGAGGCTCAATTCAATGGACATGCTCGAGTGGTTCCGAATGGAGGTACAGAGCCAGAAGGTCGTGTCGCTGGAGCAGTCCCCGTTGGATGTTTAAAGAAGGATGCTTTGCTTACTAGTGAGAAAGGAATTACCTCGTGTGCTGAGTCAAATGGTGGTGGCACCACAGAAAATAAAGATGCAGAGGCAACTACATCTCTCCTGAAGGATGGAGATTGTACCGCTGTAGAGCAAGAACCCCCTTTCTTCTTGGTGCCTCACCGGAAGAGTGGCCGTAAGGTCACAAAATAACTCTAAATGTAAATCATGTTTTTTGTGTGGAATATACATGGACTTAACAGCGACCTACGCCATAATATGACTAAAGATTGGATTAATATCCATAGGCCTCTTTTTGGAGCGTTTTTAGAAACGCATATTCAACAAATAAATGAAGGAAGAATTCTGCGGGCAATTCCATTCGGCTGGAAGTTTTTTGGGAACTTTGATCATCATAATACCACTCGTATTGTGGTAGTCTGGGATCCAAGTGTGTCCGTTTTTGTTTATAAATCTTCGGCTCAAGCTATCTCGTGTGGAATTCACATTCCAGCAGAGAATGTCACCTTAACCATGACCTTTGTTTACGGGTATAATCTCGTAGAAGAACGTTTGTCTCTGTGGGAGGAGCTTAGGACCTTAAATGATACCACTCCAGTTCATTCAAATCCATGGACGGTTGTTGGAGACTTCAACCAAATCTTGCAGGTTGCTCATCACTCAAATCACCTAGCTCTGAATATTGACGTTTCTGGTATCGATGATTTCAGTCTTACTCTTCAAGACGCAGAACTTTTTGAAGCTCAATCAAAGGGTCTCCCCTTCGCATGGTGGAACAACCAAGATGAGAACCCTATCGCCAAAAAGATCGACCATGCGCTCATAAATCAGGCGTGGTTCTCTTGTTTTCCAGATGCATATGCAGAGTTATTAGCGCCTCAGCAGTCAAACCATGCAGCATGCTTGTTCAGGGTCCCATCAGCTTAAAGGATAATCTGTAAGCCATTCAAATTCTTTCAACACATCATCGATCATCCTCTCTATATTGATACAGTGAAAGAAGCTTGGAGTTATGCAACTATATCTGGGTCTAATCAATTCAAGTTGGTTAGATCTCTGAAACTGCTTAAGAGGCCTCGCAGGCGCCTAAACAAACGCCACTATAGTGGTATATCTGAGAGGGTCCGGGTTCAAGAAGCGAAAATTGCTGAACTTCAAAGATCTCTTCTGTCTATGCCTAATCAGGATATTGCTAGGGAGGAACATCAAGCCAGAGTAAAATGGAAAACGCTGGCAACCGCAGAGGAGAAACTCTACCGGCAGAAATCAAGGGTTCGATGGTTGCATGTAGGAGATAGAAACACCCCCTTCTATCATAAAACGGTGGCTGCGGGAGCTACACGGAACCATATCCATTTCTTAAGGGATGCAGATGAAAGTTTAGTTGGCACCTCGACAGAGATTAAGGCATATTCTGCAGAGTATTTCCAAGGAATTATCGGCAGCACAGATCTTCCTATCTCCTCTTGCTCTGTTTCGCAGTTAGAGAATTTGTTACCGTTTCATTGCTCTGATTCTCAAAAGGTGGAATTGCAAAAAGAAATTTCAGAGGATGAGATTCACAGGACTGTCTTTGCAATGCCCCTAGATAAAAGCCCGGGCCCTGACGGTTATTCAGTAGAATTTCTCAGGTCTTCTTGGGAATTAGTTGGTTCCGATGTTGTCGCTGCAGTGCAAGAATTCTTCAGAAATGGTCGATTGCTGAAGGACATGAACAACACAGCCATTACTCTTATCCCAAAGAAGCCGGAAGCGTGTAAATTAGGTGATTATAGACTGATCAGCTGTTGTAATATTGTCTATAAAGTCATCTCCAATATTATTGCCAACAAGCTAAAACCAATCCTTCAAGACTGCATTAGCCCGAACCAAGCAGCTTTCCTTAAAGGCCGTAGCCTTGGTGAGAATGTCCTGCTTTCTTCCGAGCTGATTAAAGACTATCTTAAAGCTTCTTGCTCTAAAAGTTGCATACTTAAGGTCGATATCAGAAAGGCTTTTGATACAGTATGTTGGGATTTCATCCTAAAGATGTTGGAAGCACAAGATTTTCCTCCTCGCTTTACAACTTGGATTAAAGAATGCATTACTTCGCCAAGGTACTCAATTGCTATAAACGGTGAATTGGCCGGTTTCTTTGCCAGAAAAAAGGGATTCGCCAAGGTGATTCTATCTCTCCTTACTTAGTCATTATGGTTATGGAAACCTTGTCTAAGCTCCTTGAGAATGCAGTTCATCAAGGAAGGCTTCGTTTGCATCCGAAGTGCTCTACTCCGTTGATCACTCATCTTTTATTTGCCGATGATCTCTTAATTTTCTCCGACGGATCAAGCGGCTCTCTATCAAGCATAACTGAGATTATGAATGAGTTTAAATCATTATGTGGCCTTGATATGAATCCTACGAAATCGGAAATTTTCTTTGGTGGTTACACTGATAGTGAGGCAGAGGCCCTGAGCAGAAATTCTGGATTTAAGCTCGGAACTTTCCCAACAAGGTACTTAGGTTTGCCCTTAAACCTCCAAAGAATTTCCTTCTCAACGCTGCAACCTTTTATTGAGAAAATTACGAGTAAGCTGCACTCATGGACGGTGAAGCTTTTATCCTTTGCGGGGAAAATAAGGTTGATCTCTTCGGTTATCTACGGAATGGTGAATTTCTGGAGCTCCGTCTTCTCTTTACCAAAGCGTTTTTACGCTAAGGTGGACTCTTTATGCTCTGTGTTTCTTTGGAAAAACAAGACGGGCTCCGCTGCGGGAGCTCGTGTGTCTTGGGGTGATGTGTGTAGACCTAAGCCGGAAGGGGGTCTTGGTATTCGGTTGTTGGAGGAGTTCCAAATTGTTTTCAGGCTAAAGCAAACATGGCTCTTATTCTCATCTGCAGGCTCGTTGTGGGTGGCTTGGGTTAATACTCATGTGTTTGGTCGGAAGGGTTTTTGGCTGACAGATGATGCAAACCGCTTCTCGAATTCTATTAGGAGTATGCTCCAGGTTAAGCCTCTTCTGTCAGATTTCCTGCGTTGTCAGATAGGTGATGGGGCTAAGGCTTCTTTTTGGTTCGATTATTGGACCGATATGGGACCTCTTCTATCGTACTTGGGTGAAACAGGCCCTAGACAACTCAGGATTCCACTTAGTGCTTGTGTGTCTCGTGCAACAATTGCAGGTCAATGGAGACTCCCCGGGGCAAGATCCGATGCTGCTCAGGCCCTGCAGATTTTTCTGACAAGTATCTCTCCTCCCCATCACTCGCGAGGTAGTGATGTTTATCTATGGCGTAACACGGCGGGCTTGTTCGTCAACTCTTTCTCCTCTAAAGAAACCTGGGAGCAGATAAGATCTCATTCTCCTATTGTCCCCTGGCATGGCGTTGTTTGGTTTAAAGAAGGGGTCCCGAGGTGGTTTTTCACAACATGGTTAGCCATGATATCAAGGCTTCCTACAAAAGATCGGCTTCGAAGATGGGGGATGAACGTGCCGGCGGAATGTGCGCTTTGCTTAACAGGCATTGAAACACATGACCACCTCTTTTTTGAATGTCATTTCTCCTCTGAAGTTTGGTCTCATTTCTCAGCTGGTTTTCCTAATCCACCGCAAAATCTACAAGACATTGTCTCTTGGATTGGTTCACTACAGCTTCCGGCAAATTCCCCTCGTGGCACCTTGATCACGCTCTTCTTTCAAGTAATCATCTACCTGTTATGGAAGGAGCGTAATGCCAGAATCTTCGCCACCTCATCCTCTTCAGCTTCCTCTTTGCTCCATGTTGTTGATCGCCACCTCCGTGATAGGCTACTCTTAATCCCGGCGGTCAGTGTAAGGTCTCCCTCTCTACTTGAGTTGTACTTTCAATATGTTGTTCCTCCTCTGTAATTTTTCTTTGTTCCTATTCTAAAATCAGTTGTAATAAGTTACTTGCAATATGTAAAACTCAGAAAATGATATAAATATTAACATTTAAACCAAAAAAAACAAAAATTAACAGTAAATTTTTATTTTTTGACAAATTTAACATGCTTTATCATGTCGTTAAAATCCATCTTTCTAACAATGTGACCCATACCGTTATTATGGTTATGAACAACAAGAAGAACAAAATTAAAGTTTGCAGCGAACACTACCTTGGTGAGAATTTTAGCTTCTAAAAAGATCAACAAACAAAATTTAAACCATTGACCATCCAGACTTGTTTCTCTTCCTTTCATTTTATACAGTTTCTAAAATGTTGTCCTTGTTTAAAGTAAATGAGACTCCTGAAAAGCACCATCAAACAACTTTGTTGAGAAAAATTGCATGACCCAAATACATCAGCATTTAGATGCAAATTTCAAATAAACATGATATAAATTATATTTTTTTGATTATTTCAGAAAAAACTAAAAAATTATGTTTTTCGCTAATATTATAAAATTATATTTTTTTGCCAAAACTATAAAACAGCTTTTTCCATACAAATCATAAAATCGAATTTTTTTGTCAAAATCGCAGAACTACCAAAACTGTGAAATCATATTTTTCCGACAAAACTGCAAAATTGTATTTTCCGCTAAAATAAAAAATCATGTTTTTGTTTAAACCGCAAAATTTTTTTTTCTCGGCGTAACCATAAAATTACATTTTCCCGCCAAAAAGTAAATTTTTCCGCTCAAATCAAAAATCATGTTTTTGTTTAAACCGCGAAATCATTTTTTCCATCAAAATTTTAAAATCACGTTTTTCCGACAAAACCAAAATCACGTTTTTTCGTCAAAATTATAAAATAAAAATTTTCTGTTATAACCACTAAATCGTGTTTTTTGCTAAAACTACAAAATCATATTTTTTCAGCAAAAATATAAAATTATGTTTTTTTGGTCAAAAACACAAAACCTTATTTTTCTGTCAAAACTATTTGATTAATAAATATATTTTATATCAAACTAAAATTAAAACTAAAATTATTAAAATTAAGACTACAAATATAATTATATGAAAATATGAGTATTTTAGTTATTTTATTATTAAAATTATCTAAATGAAAATGTAAATTTACAACCAACTAATCAAACTAACAAAGTTACATTTAGATGATCCAAATGAACAACCAAAATATGAACAAAGAACATTGAGATGAGGCATTAGGATGGAAATGATAGAGGAGGAAACAAACATACTCTTAACTTTTTTACAACAGTCAACTTGTTTAGAACATTCAGC